CCCCAAAACCCCAAAACCCCAAAACCCCAAAACCCCAAAAAATATAACCTCAATAGAATAAATTTTATTAAAACGATGTATACCTATCAACCTCTCAGTCACCAGAAGGAGGTAAGCCTACCTCCTTGGGCTCTTTACCTCAGCCCTATAGGAGAGATACAAGTTTCACATAGTGTTTTATAATGGCTCTGTACAGGCTTGATGGATTAAGAAGATGCGTTCCTTGATATAGTAGATTTTAGAAATATTTTTACTTAAAATTCGGGCGTAAGGGTGATACTTATGAAGAGACTAGATATTAGGACATAGAGGGGGGGTGAATACACTGTAGCCTATTGAGAGATTTACCTTTTGAATTAGGCATATTTTTAAGCCTTAGGGTATCATAGCTTTGTTTTCAAAATATCACTAAAGGGAAAAATCACAGTTCTTAGAGTGCTATTTTCATGACCTTTATAGAGCTTAAGCATTATAAAGAATCAAGATTCTAATAATAATAATCTATCTTATTTTCATGAAAGCATGCTTTAGCATGTACCTCATTTTTATCTCAGGATATTTAGAAGTAATTTGAGGTTTGTTAGAAATTTCAGAAATATTAAGTAAACTATTCATTTTGTTTTTTAACTAAACTCTCTAGCCATCAGTCAGCGATGAAGACAACTTATACGATATGGAGGTAACCTTGCTCAGAAAGTTAACTTATTGACAAGAACATTCTTAAAACTTTGACAAAAATTCTAAAAATATTAATTCAAGCTCTTTATTTTAGGAGCCAAGGGACTTAGAACAAGAGTTAAATCGATATCCAAGAGAGAGATATCTCTAAAAAGGCTTATCCTTCAGAATAGGGAGCTTAAGAAGGTAAGATGTCCTAGAATTATCTTATGTTGTAGGATGCACCACAATTCAGTAAGTCTAAGAAGACGCTTGAAGGTTTTGATGAAAGTGCCAATTTATTACAAAACCCTAAGAAATCGATAGCTAATCCAAATGAGGAGTCTGAAAGGACATTTGATTACCATATTGAAGAAGAAGTCAATCCAGAGGAATACCCTCAGAGGGAGAATTACAACTCTATCTTTGCGACACCTAATAATCACCAAGCTTCTCCATTTGAAAAACAGCTCAGGTTAGCAGACTATGACGGTGAAATTCCTCCTAGTATTTTAAATCGAGGAGATACAGACTCAAAGCCATGATCTTCAGGCATTTCTTCATTAATCTCTCTGCAAAGAGGTGAAAGAAACTTCTGTGATACTTACTTAGTGTAAATTTCTTTGGTAAACTCTACATAGACACAAGGAGACTAATCGAAGTAGTGTCTTGACATCTCACGACGACAGTCGCGAGAAAGACCCATTCTGAATTGCAGAGGATGCTAGTAATCAACCCAGCTCAAGAAATCAAAATTTCAGCAAAGCCAGAGAAGACACTATCTGTAAACTTCTCAACTTGACTGACTCGAAGGTGAAGGATACCGAACAGAAGCAACGGGAGACTCAGGTAGAAGAACCCCAAGAAGAAACCCATGTCATTAGAGCAAATCGCAACCAATATCGAGGGTTTGAAAAATAATGACCGGATTGATTTTCATCCCAAAAATGAACGGAACAATACAGAAATTCTTGTAAGTTTCATACTTAATAATACCTCTTAGCTCCAAGAGACACAAAACCTATTAGAAGAGTATAAGAAAAAATACCAAACAAAGGAGGTAGAGAAGGATGTGAAGGAATCCCGGAATGTTGTGGTGTTTAAACCTCAACCGAGTATCAACTCCAGACCTTCTAGTATGAATCCTAAAAAGACAGATACTTTTAAATCTCCTGAGATAAAGGTCAATGGAAACCCTAAAAATAGGTATAAAAGATGATTCGATTCAGCTGAGCCTCCAAAGTACTTAACTTCTAGTGATAAAAAGAAGGGTGCTAGGGAGAACACTGAGAAATCAAAAGGATACCTACACGAGTCTTATAAAAGGTACTCATCCAAAGATAGGCCAGTGTATAAGATAATTAACGGGAAGGTAATCAGGATTGACCCCAATAACCCTAAGAAACAAGATTCTGCTGTCAAGCCGAAATATACTATCTATAAAACTATTGAGCATCCCAAGATTGTCATTACGGATTTTAATGAGGTATTGTCATAAACTAATTTGAAAATATAGACGAAGGCAGGAATGTGTTGGCCAGCCAATCTGAACGTACGAATTTATTAAAGATTCTTGCCACCGCTTAAATCATTACATTTAAAGACTAGCATCCCAAAACTTAGAGCTGTTAAATTATTTATAAACAATTTAGTCATGTTTAACTAAGATTATTTAAACCCCAGTTTTGTTTAAAAGATTCCTCTGTAAAGTAACATTTGTGTAGACACCTCGAGAAGCAAAATTGATGAGCCATATCAGTACCAGAATCGGTACAAGAGAAAACTACCGAGACCGGGTATAAATATAAAGGAAAAGAGAGAAAAGAGCAATACAAAATCATTGAAAAAGGTAAGCCCTCAGAAGGGTGCCAGCAAGAACTCGTGGGCTTCACAGACAAATTCTAATAGTAAAGGACCCATGCTTCAGGAAATTGATACTTTCTCAGAATTTTCTGAAGAAAAACGTTACTTGAAGAAGAAAATGATCTACCAGAAAGAGAGAAAAGAGGTGTATTCTAGTCAATCTCGGAAATCAACCAAGAGTTCTTCTCTCAGAACTAAGAAGAATAGCTGCAAAGCTTCTCAATTGAGCAGAGTTGCATATAGATCTCCAGCTGTAAATGGTCATAAGCCTTGAGTCACTCGAAACACTGGCTCTAAACTCAGCAGCATGATGGCTAAATATGGAAACAAAATCAAGACAAATATTACTGTATTTTTAGGAGGTTTACACCATAGACTAAGTTTAGCAATGATAAAATGTGCCAATACAGTAAAAATACTGAAACACAATCAGACAAAGTAATTAATCAACCATAATAACATAGAATAATCTATATTTTATGCCTGAGAAAGTCTGACCTGACGACCCAAGTGAGAAGTCGCATAATACCACAATTCAAGTGAAAACAGAACAAGACGACTATCTCAGGATCCGTGACTATGACTCCCAGCCTGAGATAGTTCCTTCATGGAGAAGAGCTCGTGCTCAAAGGTAACATACCTCTTAAATCCTGTAGAAATTACATGTCTGCTCATGAAGGTTCAGAGAGTGGAAGCGTCACTCGTAGTATTCATGACAGGAATATGTCAAGGACCGGTAAATGCCAAACTTATTAGCATCAATTTGATCAAATTGGAATGTCATCAAATTAGTAGTCTCTCATTAGGAGAAGATAACCATCTTTGATATCACCAAGGCTTGATCGAATAGAAATTTTCTAGTATTAGACTAAAATAGAAACTGGAAATTCAGATCCCTTAGGACTAATTCTTAATCTCCTACTGATTTGATAATCAGAAGAGTTTGGAGCTATACATATGAGGAGGGTTAGAACTCTCCCAGATTTTAGAATATTCAACAAATAATAGGAAGTATAGAAGCTCAATCTCGCCATGCTTGGTCACAGATAGATCCGGATGAGCACAAGAATCTTCAGATAAGGTCGCAGTATCGGCCTATTTCTCAAAATCTGAATCAGTCAATCAACACTCAGATTTCGAAAAATCGGTACGAGAGTGGTAACAACAGGAATTATTTTCAAATTTATTAATAAAATTAGGGGTTTTGGGGTTTTGGGGTTTTGGGGTTTTGGGG